TTATTATTATTATTATTATTATTATTATTATTATTGTTATTATGTTACTAAAACCAAACTGTAGGCCTACCTTAAGGGGAACTTAGACAATCGAGGAATTAGAGAACAATTAAAAAATCGACGTTAAGGGAAATAACACAAATGATGGGCTAGTTATTAATTATAGGCCTAGTAAATAGTATGGCTCTTCATTACAAGGCTTAGGTCAAGGTAGTTAATGCTGAAATTATTATTATTATTATTATTATTATTATTTATTATTTAACATTAATTACATTACAAGGATAGTTTGGTCAAGTTCAATAACGCCGATGAATGGTATATTTTATTTATTTAATAATATTTCTCTTATGCACTCTATTTTTTATTTCATGCTTTAATTTTTTTCCATTTTTTTTTTCAAAATTTCAATCAATCAACGTCTGTATGTAAAGTGTGACTGTTGGTGTCAGCATAGGACCCTAGGCCTATACTAGGTAGGACTTAACTTAGCCTGTAGTTAGGCCCATAGTTTATCCTCTTTCTCTCTAGCCTCTGGTATTACTGTACCTATCATCAACAAAATAAAAGGGGGTACTAGCTGTTGTTGTTATAGATATTATACTAACATTTAATAAACATCCAAGAAGGTCAGAGTTAGTTACACGCGTACATCCTATAAACCCGTAAGATATCATAGGCCTACCGTAGGTAAACATAGAAAGAGCAATGATAGTAAAACTCGAGCGTCACGACATTGCGAAGTGTCTGCTCTTGTTCCTCGTATCGAACTTAGTCGAGTCAATCCGAGATGGCCCGAGTGAAGTTTCATGCAAATGTTTCGTACGGTCTCTCAAATTACAGTAACATCTCCATAACTTGTGTTTCTTGCGTAATGCTTTAACAGCCTTCCTATTCATAAACTTTATTTTTTATTATTACTTCTTCTTATCTTTAATGGTATATTAGAACGAATGGCATCTTCAAATACATCCATAAATTTCCTCCAAGACTCTGAAATTAATGGAAGTTCAATTAAACTTATCCCATCCACATCTAAGAGACTCAACCGGAGATTACTCCAGTTAGCACTACTAAATTCAAATACAAATTCATTACTTTTACTATAATAATAATAACAATAATAATAATAATAAGCTTTATTTTAACAGGGAAAAACTTGTTTCAACTAGAGTTGTTCTTCTACAAGTCCGTGTAGGAGAAGCAAAAAATTAATCAAATTGAAATTAACATACCATTTAGTTAATTGAACAACTTAAGAAACCAAAAAATACAATTGATAAAATTACTGTATTCAATAAGGAAATGTTGACATCCAGTAACCCAGTCCCCCAGCTACTCCACTACTACTACTACAAAAAGGTACAAACAGTTCAAATAAAAAACTAAACTAACAGAAATACAATATCACAATGGATTTACATGGTAGCAATAAACATTTGTTTAAATTGATATTAATAACATTTTTGAGGTCTTCACTAATATCATTCCAGATTTTTGCACCCCTATATGATAAGCTTCTTTTCTTATAGTCAGTTCTTGACGCAGGGTTCCCAGAATGCTGCCCTCAGTGGTGTGTGCGAAACAACTCAGAGTGAGAAGTGGAACGTGAATTTCGATTTGGTTTCGTAGTCAGATTTTCAAGAAAAACTTCAGCTACCCGTATTTCTCAACTGAGACGTCAATGGGAGCTGTAATTTGTATGGCAAGGAGATGGTGCAACCCTTAATTTGTATTAAGGGAATTTACGCCCACAAACCTTGTAGTTATTAATATTTTGGTTATAATTAGAAAATTTTTATTTTTTGGTGACGTCACACTCACGCTGTAGTTATCATGCATACGTCATAAGCTAGATTACGTCACCTTTTCCTGGTAAAGCAAACTTTCCCGGTGTGCTTTTTTCATGGATAAACAAACACCACTGCTTTGCACATGAGTGCCTTGTCTAGCTAGGGCTACAAGAGCCGCATAGTTAGCATATAATACTTAAACAAGGTACGTCTGCAACTGGGTCTGGCCCTAGTTAATTTTTTTTCTTATTTTAATTTATTTCTTTCGAAAGTGTACTTTCTATCACATAAAATTGCACTGTCTACTTAGGCCTAGGCCTAGTCATATTATGCTTCATCGTCCCCTGCTATACACAGTACATCAGTAGGCTAGCCCCCACCCCCCCACGCTACAGTACAGAGTTTGCTAGGCAACGAGAACGTGATTGCACCTTTCTTACCAGATGTTCATGTAAATTTGCATAGGCCTATTGTTAGCTAACCAGCTGAGTGTATGCCTTTGTGAAAATGAGTACCGCAGGCCACGGCGTACTCATTTTCACAAAGCATTTGCATCCCCTCTTGAAAAGAGGGAACTTCATAATAGTTGTCACCATATCTTCGCTAATTTATAACCGTAATTTAGCTTACACTTATGCATGGAGGGAGCACTTAAAATGTACAATAATCATTTCACTACCCGACAAACCCCGAACTTTATTCATGCATTACATAGTTTCATCTTGCTGTACTCCAACATCACTGGCGCATGGTAACAACCAACTGGCAGACCATTTCCGGTCATACATTACTCTCCATCAACACCCCTTGTTCCGTGTCAACTTGGTTTTGGTTAACAATTTAGGTTTACTTCTAATATTGTAACAGTTATCTCTTCAATAATAAATTTGTTGAATAAATAAGTAAGTGCAAGATTATTCATGATCTTATACATAGTGATGGCCTTATTTATGAGCAGTCTTTGGTCTAGGTTCATACATTTAAGGCTTTGCAGAGCTTGTGCACTGGAGTCGCTTCTTGATGTTTTTTTAATTATTTTAGCTGTCTGATTTTTGAGAATTTGGAGCTTCTTGCTTTGAGTTTTATTTGAACATCCCCATATGACATGATAATAT